TAGTCTGTGGTGGTGTGGGCCTATGACCACAGCCCTTGGGAAGGAGAGGTGGGGGACTTTGAGTTGAGGACTTCCTGGGTGACCTAACAAGTCGTAGGCTAGTCTGGACTTCATAGTGGGACCATGTCTCAAAAATGGTGTTCTTGAATAGTATATTTTATTTTATTATTTTGTTTTGCCTACAACCAAGCCTGTGCACCATGTGAATGCAGTGCCCGTAGAGACCAGAAGAGGGCATTGAAACCCCTGGGACTGGCATCACCTACTGTTGTGAGCTGCCATGGGGGTGCTGGAAGTCAGTCCCTGGTCCCCTTAACTGCTGAGCCATCTCTCCACCCCTTTCTTTAATAATATATTTTGTTAAAAATTACTTGATAATTTAGTGCTTAATAACAATTGTGATGATCGACCCCTTTTTAAAAACCATTTTTTAATTGTATATTGATTAGACAAATTTCCTCTGACTTGATAATGTGGGCATGTTTATGATTTCAATTTGATTCTCGTTTCTGTTCTCTATGCCTCCCTCTCATTCTAGGCTAGTTCTCATCCTGGGCTAGTTTTCCGTGTATCCCTTTTTTCTTCATTAGACGGGGATTTATGGAGCACTGCGCAGGGTGTTGCACTTGCAGGGCTCCAGAAACAGACAGATCTCATGCTTCATAGCTGAGCGGCAGGGAGCTGGCGTGGCCTACTTTCCAGCACAGGAATGAGACTGAGGAAAAGCCTTTGGAGTTCGCACTGGCCAGCTTCCGTGCCTGTTTCCGTGCCGAGCCTGGTTTGTTACACACGTTCACATCAGTGTCCCTGTCAGCTGTTTCCACCTGACAGCCTTATGGGGTGAGTTCAGGAGTCTGTGCTCTAATCTGATTGCGTCCTTTGTGAGGGATGTAGCTGCTGAAGATGAGGAGGAATATTCTTGTCAGGGATGCCTAGACGACCATTAACACAGTTCACGATGTATTGTGTAATTATTAAAATGTATGTTCCACATATAGATTTTCTGGTTATTGAGGGTGTATTCCGTTTACCCCCTTTTAAAAATTGTCATTTTTTGACAACAGAAGGAGGAACTCCAGATTTCTTATAACAATTTAATGTGTGCACTTGAGTGTGTGTCTGCATGTGCAGCAGAGGCCTTGGGTCCGGCCCTCTGCGCTGGAGCTCACAGTGAAGGCTGGGATCTGAGCTTTGTCCTCATGATGGTGCAGCCAGCACTCATTTCAACTGTGAGCCTAACACTGAGCCGTCTCCCCGCCTGAGTCATGTTCAGTTACAGAGCAGCACTGTGGTTAATTAGTTTAAAGGACATATTTTAACATTTCCTAAAACAAAATTCTGGGTTTTTTCCAAGGCTATTCATTTTATCTTTCAAAATATATTTTCAAAGTGTCTATTATTAGGTATTAATATTAGTAGGTATTTTTCTTTTAAATGATAAATATATATTTACTATGTAAAGAGACATGTCTGCTTTTCAAATATCTTATTTATTTGAAATGGTGTTGGGGACATGTGTGCCACTGTCTCCATGTCGAGGTCAGAGGACGATTTCATGGAGTTGTTTTTTGTCTTTCACCTTTCCATGGGTTTCGAGGATCACGCTCAGTCTCCACATGTGTGCAGCAGCAAGTGCTTTGCCCACTGGTTCTCAGTGCTGAGTCTGACTTACAGTGTGACAGCTCATGTCGGGTGTGCTGCATCGGGGCTGCCCAGCTGCTGGTGCAGCTGTGTTCCCACTGAGCTCAATGCCTTGAAGTAGGAAATGAAAGCTAAAGATCTCTCGACAAATAAAAAGAAGTCCAGAAACGCATGAAATATTTTCTAATTTGTAAGGTAAGATTGAAAAGCCAGTTAGCAAAGGTTCATTCCATGCAAAAACTTACAGAGTGAAGCTACATTACTAATGTTTCAGTGGTTGTGGGTTTTGCTTAGTGGTAGAGCACTTACCTAATGTGCAGTGCCCTGAGTTTGACTCCCAGCACCACAAGTGCTCAATTCTAGTGATGAAAATGTTTCAAAGCAGTAGCGTAAACATTCTTACTGTAGTGTTCAGAAATTAACAAAATACAAATACATAAGATACCTTATTTTAAAAATTTGGGAACATTATGTTTAAAGAACTATTAAATTTAATATATACATTTAGTTCTTCAGAATACTGCAAATTTGATTTGTCTGGCTTTCCTTAGTGAATGAACACATGGAACCAATTTGGGGATTTTTGATTGAGTACATGTACTGTGCTGTTGGTCTCATCATCTAAAATGGTGCTGTCACCATAGGCTAGGCGCGTAGACATGTGTATTAGCTAATACTTCAGTGCGTTTCCTCCCATCCTTTCGTTTTTCTTCTCCTCCTTTTGATGCTGGCTGGGACATGTAAGGAGGCTGTGAGAAGCTGGGCAGGTGCTCTATGACTTCTAATCCCAGCAGAGGCTGTGGGTCTTTTCGAATTTGAGGCAACCACGTGAGTTCCAGGTCAACTAAGGCCCCAAATGATACTATCTCAAGAAAGTTAGTAAGTGGAAAGACATCTCATGCTCTGAGTCTCAGATAGTCTGCTTTACAACATTTTATAACTTGGGATTAAACCCAGTCAGGTGGTAGTTGGCATCAAATGTTGGCAGTTAAGACAATATAGTTTTTACTGTAAAATCAATGAGAAGTAAAGCAGGTCTTTGTTTTTCCTTAAAGGGGTATCTTGATTTTATTTCTGATTTCTGATTATTTTTTGTCTTCTGATTAGAACTTGGCAAGTAGAGGGAACATAGCTACCAGGAGTTTCATTTTTATCTTTGCATGGGTGTTGTTAACTGGTTGAAGGAGAATAGAAAGCACAAGATAGAAATGAAATGAACATTGGAAATTCTCCGTGGATAACTTAGGAGAAACGGGTAGGGTGATTGTCTCTGTTGGCTATGATCAGTATGAAAAGGACAGCGGTGATTTTTGGCCACTATCCATGCCATACTCACCCACACATTTGGGGGAAATTATAGGTTTCAAATGTTTTCACCATGTGACAGTTTATTAATTAATAGTTACCAGATACTTGGACAACTGTAGCGGAAGTTATCCTCTTTGTACATACATATCATTAAAGTGTCTACAATAGAAATGAAGTCTTTGGAGTGCCCAGATACAAGCCATGTGAAACATAGCTACTGTCTGAATCATGACCTTTGAAATACTTGGAATTTGAAGAACAGGATATGCGGTTTATATTGTAACTAATTTTGAAGCAATATATGATAAAATATTTTCCCATCTGTTTTTTAAACTCTGAGTGTGTTCAAAGTTGAAAGCAAAGGACAAAAGCTTCCTTTGTTCATGACCTCATATTCCAGTGTGTTTTTCTGAAATTGCCAGTGTTTTCTAACCAATGCCTTTGTTTTTTTTATTGGTTATCAAACATTATTTTGGTATTATTTATATATAAAAAGACTTTAAAAGACTGTAATATAACTTTATTATATTAAACAAGAAAACATAATTATTCTGCTAAAATATACCTTTATTTCTATTTGTATATGGTTTGTCACAAATTACAGGATATGGAGCCTGTTTTAAATCAAGGACAGATGTTGAGTAAAAGCTTCTGACTGGAAGGATCTGAAACATGATTAAATAGAATAGCCAGAGCCCCAGTCAGCTGCGTTGTGGGTGTGTTTGGGGGGAGAATAAGGGAACTACATAATAATTGAACCTCAGATTCAAAAACAAGTCTTTCCCAGAAGTGGTGCCATTTTCATCAGGAACAATAGAAAAAATTGTATGATGAATACAGATAGATTTTCCTATAAAACGTCGACCACAACAGCTAATTTATTTCAAAGAACCATTCATGTTATAATTCTAAATTTGTAATATATTCCTTCAAAAGTTTAAGACATAAGTTTCTCTTAAAAACTGGGGTAGGAGGGAATGGTGGTGGTTGTCAAGGTTACACTACCAAGGTTTAAAAACCAGAAAACATTGTGTCACGTCTAGACAAGCTCCTCTGTACCACACCCTGTCCCTGTCCGTGAGTGGTGACTTGATTGGGTATTGAAGACGTACTGCAGGTGTGGGCAGCAGCTCTGTAACCCCAACTGCTGGGCAGCAAGGCCAGCCCGGGCGCCCCACAATCCTGACTGGAAAATGTATGAGTGCAATTTTGCTTTGTTTTTTAAGACTGGGGATGTGGTTCAGTGGCAGAGTGCTCAGCGCTGTCAGCCCACTAACAGGTGGGGTAACAAGGCCTGTGTGAGAGATACATTTCCTCCAGCTCTGGTTGGAGGCAGGATGGTTTCTGACCTTGGGTAGACTTGTTCAGGGTCTGTGCATTATGGTACTGATCAGGAAAGGACAGCAGTGGACAGATAAGACATCCCCCTCTTTGACCAGCAGTTCAATTATTACTGTAGCAACACAACATGGAAACTATTAATAGCTAAGTCCTTGTGTGTCAGATACTGTTGTACCTTTCTACATATTCCTTATCAGGATTAGATGAATTTAATTCTCATGAGTTTCTGGTGTAGACACCCTTTTCTACAAATGGAGACCATCAGGCCCCATGGGTCTCTGTCCAAGGTCGCACCAGGGCAGAGCAGACCAGAAATGGATGAGATCTTCTAAAGTAGTGTCAAATAGGATCATTTCCCTGAGAAATTGCAATTGAGAAGTTACAGAACATTTAAATGACTAATGCAAGAAACGTTCCCATCCTTGCTTAGAGTCTAAATTATGTCCTGACCCAGAGGCTCTTTGCAATTGACAGCTGCTGGGAAAGAGATCAGTTTTCTCCAGATGTCATCAACCACAGGAGTAGTTGGCTAACACAAAGCAAGACACCATGTGTTTTGTGTGCTTTTCGTCATGATCTGGTTTGGCCTCTTTTATTGAGATTTTTATTTTGTTTTGATTCTTGTGGGTTTTGGTTTTGAGAAATAAAATGAAATTGGGTAGGTCGGGAGGTGGGGAGGATCTGGGAAGAGTTGGAGAAGAGGAAAAATATAATCGGAATGTATGAAAAATATAATTTAAAAAGTTTCCAACATTGACCACAGTTTTTGTTTCTCCACCGGTGCATGTTTATATGGTGCAGTGGAATCCTTTGGAAGTTGTAGGCATCCCTAAACCAGGCCACAACGGTGCAAGCGAAAGCAAGGGAGGCGGGACCGGAAGGAGGGGTGGTCGTGGGATATGGTCTGCGGCCCGTGGCCTGGTGGATGCTGGGAACTGTAGTTCCGTGCCGCAAGGTCTTCCTGAGCAGGGCCCGGGAAGAGCCTGACTGGCTCCCTGAAGCCTCTGGGGCGGCTTCGCCCGGACGCACTTCCGCGACCGGGGAGGGAGGCGCGGTAAGAGGCTGCTCCGAGTGGGCGAGCGGGGTGCTCCGGGCCGTGAGAACCCGGTAGGTGTGGTCAGGGACGCTTCCGTTTCGGAGTCTTCTGCAAGTAGTTGAGGGTGTCGTGTGGAACGGCGAAGTGGCGGCGAGTCGGCATTTTAAACGCTGCCCACATGTGCGGCTGGGGAAGCTGGCTGAGGAGGTATGTGGTCGAGCGCTAAAACATTTTCATCCCTTCCGAGGAGCCTGGAAATGCGGGGCCGCGCTGCGGGGGGGCGGGGGGCGGGGGTGGAGGCGCGAGCTGCGGTTGCTATTTTTGCGGCAGCGGCTGACGCGCCCGGTTGTGTAACGCTGACCCGCGGCGGTCCCCACGCACCGCGAGCGCGTGTGGCGAGCTCGCCCCATTGGCTGCGCGCAGCCGCCCCTTTCCCTGCTTGGCCGCTCGGGGGCTCCTGAGGACGCGGCTCCACCGTGGGAGGGGAGGGACAATCCCCGCAGCGCACCCCTGCCACCCTAGGTGGTCTCCAGGGGTCCCATTGGTGCCATTGATTGTCAAGTGAGCCCTCCTGATTGTGAAGCAGTCACGCTTACGTGCATGGTGTCAGTTCAATAATCATAGACGAGAGTGGGGAACCTTGACCGAAGTCAGCACCCGGCCACATCCTGCATAATTACTGGAATGCGACCAGTGATAAACGCCTCGACCCAGGAAGCTCCCGGGCGTTTATGAGTTTTCACTCAGCCTACCTGTTTGAGCTAAGTAGTATTTAAAGAAGAAGTCACTCCTGTTTAGAGATAGGGAAACTTCCTGAAATGGCAGGTTGAGCCAAGGGTACGGCAGAAACTAAAAAGAACACTCTGGTCGCAAATTTCACGATGAACAATGCAGATCAGTTTCGTCTGGTTTTATTGTGAGCACCGTTTTTAAAACACTTTAAAAATAATGTATTTCTTTCAGTGCCAAGAGAGTTGTATAGTGTCTTCATCGTTCTCATTATTTCATGATAGCTGTAGACCTAATATTGAAAAAAAAGAAAAGCCATTAAATTTTTTCCATAGATTTCTAACCCAGTAAAGTCCTAATTACCCTGAACTTTCAAACCACAAAACGAGTGTTATTTTTCTTTTGGGACTCATGTCTAACAGTGAATATAAGAATCGATCACCTGTGTTGTTTTTGTTGTTTTTTTGCTTTGTAGTGGTGCTGGTGATTGACCTAGGGCTTTCTACATGGTGGGCAAGCATCCTAGCACTGAGCTACGTCCTCAACCTTAAACTCTCCTTTTGAAAAACGTATTGCTTGCCTTTTCTGATGTAGCATCTTATTAAGTCTAGATAATTGCTATTTTTTTCCTGCTTCTCTGTGAATTAAAATAGTTTCTAGAGAAGTGCTGTGGTAATTTGGAGCCTTTCCTGTTCCGTAGGCCCACATTATCTCTGCTTTGTGTGCAGCTGTGCACCTGTTTCATCTGATTCCGGAGGAGCAGGTACACTAACAGGTAAGCATGTCCTTTGGTTATATAACGTCTGCTTTCTGCTGTCTCAGCCGGGAGCAGTGATTTTCTTCAACAAAATAGCAGTATAGAACCTTTGTGGTACAGTGATAGATGGTTCCGGGTTCCAAGAAAACCCAAATTATAGATAGAACGGATGGCCATTGTTAACATCAAGAATTAATTTAGTGACTATGAGGCATACATTCTTTTGAAGTGATTCCTTGGAATTGTCCCTGAAAAAACTATCATGGATTCGTGAATTCCCAAAGCTCTTAGCCACTGTTTTGCATCAGCCTTCTTTGAACTCTCTTCAAAGCAAGAGAAAACATCCTTTTGAAAATATTTTTTATTCCAGGTGATATCATTGATAACATTTGTGTACCAGATGTTCTTCTCTGAGACAGATGTGGGGTGGCAGTTTTGGAGCAGAGTATTTGATTTGGTCAGTAACCACTCCAGAACTGTCGTCATTGCTAGGTGAATGTTTTTGTTTTTCATTTTACAAAATTAGAGGGACTTTTGGCCACTAAGGAGCAGGAAACAAGCGCTCAATCTAGAAACAGCCTCAGTGCTTCCGGGAACAGGGTGTGGTGACTTGTCCCGAACGAAGTGAGCGGAACTCACACTAAACCAAAGCTGTCATTTTCTCTGTGTACCAGCTAGATTCGTTTGGACAGCTATGTATTTACTCCTTCAGTCAGCGAGTAATAGAGTTCCTCCCGTGTGCCTGTAGTAAGCACCAGGGACAAAGCAAGCATCTCTGGCCTGAAGGTCAGTCTGTTGGAAAGAGCAGTATGTAAACCAGGAGTGGCAGGCATTCTCACCGCTGCGCTGCCGAAGAGAAAGTCAGAGTGCTGCTCACATGATGCAGCCGCGGATGCAGCAGCCAGGGATTCGTTCAGAACGTGAGAGGGTTAGGTTGGTTCCCCGCAAGATGACTGACATCTGGTCAACAAAGGATAGGCAGGGACTACGAAAGGCCTTAGAGCTTTGGGAAGCTGGCCTAGCAGTTAGAACACTTGCTGCTCTTGCAGAGGACCTGGTTTGGTTCCCAGCACCCACGTGGCAGCTCACAACCGGCTGTAACTCCAGGTGCGCCCTCTTGTGGCCTTCGCAGATACTGTTTGCGTGTGGGGCATACATGCAAACAAAACATCCATACACAGCAAATGAAAATAAATCTTTTAAAAAGTGTGGAAGGTTAGCATGTGGTCAGCCTTCTAACTAAATTCAAAAGTGGGAAATTTGGTAAGGTGAACGGAAAGAGTGATTGCATAGACTGTGAGGCGTGTAAGGTGAGAGTTGCCCGTGAGAGGCTGGGAACTGGGGTGAAAGCTGACGGTGTAAGTGTGGGAAGGTTTGACTCAGAGTCTTCATTGTTCAGGAAATGGGAAGCTACTGAGAGGAAAGAAATAAAAAATACTCTGGATGTAGAGCTCATTGACAGAGCACAAGAGTGGAAACCTTTTCCTCTCTCTCACGTGAAAAGCAGTAATCTGGGAGACAGCAGTAGTTTTCAGCTTTAAAACGAAATATATCCTTTTCCCATCGCCTGTAAAATGTTATCTGAAAGTGGAGTGAGACCTCAGACTGTAGATACGTAGAGTTAATGACAGGACAAAAAGTGAAATGACCAAAGAAAGCTGTAGGATGCTAGACATTAACTTCAGCACTGGGGTTGAGCCTGAAGATTTGAGATTGCTCATGTTCTGCTTCTGAAACACATTTTATGGTGTCTTTGTTGACTCCGTTTAAAACTTTCAGTCCTTGCTGTATCACCATGGGTGGCTCAGAGAACGGATGCAGAACCCCCACTGACTTGAAGCAGGGTGTGGTTAAATACACTAGGACCGCAGTGAATGTTGGTCTGCCCGTCTTCATTAGTGTTGTTCGTAGGCTAAGGGTTACAGGAGAGGATTACTAACTGCTTGTACTGATCCTGTTCCTCGTTGCCTTTGGGTTGCAGGAATCGGTGGCACAGGACACTGTTTGGAGCGATACTGATTACTTTGAAATTGTAAGTATTTGTTCCCATTTCTGGAAGCAAGAACGGAACTGTGATTGAGTGAAGAGTTTGAGAGGAGTAACTGAAGGAGTCTCGGAGCTTTAGGAGAAACAGGAACAACCTCCTCCATATTGCTCAGTCTTTTTCTAACCCAGGGCAATAACTTTTTAATAAATGGTTTACTGGCTTATGTTGCTTAATATATAACAATGTTCATGTAATACATAGCAATTATGCAGCTGATTAACCGCCGGTATTTTGAGTTTGTATGGAGCAGCATATTTTATTGGCACACTGGACCAGTGACCTTGGTGTCTTCCATCTGTGTCACATGCGACAAAAAATATTTGTTGAACAGGTGACTTCTTAGTCACAGCCATTTCTTTGTCTAGCCCACATCTGTGAACTACTTTATATGGTCTTGGTATAGGGCCCACTCTGCATTCATATAACCCTAGAATGAATTCTATGCCTGGCGCTATACATATACTGATCGTATATGGGGGAAACTGGTCAAAGGACTCCTGGAACCGAATTCTGGAGCTGGCAGCAGTAAGCATTCCTAATGCAAGCATTCTCAAACCGGCACCAAAGTGTTCATTCTTTGTTGCTAAAATTAAGCAAGAGAGGAGGATTTTTTTTTTTTGACTTGCATGAAAACTAAACTGTAATCTGTCATTTTATTCTAAAAATGTCCTGGGACAGTTGTAGCTTCTGACACCCACCAACAGAAGGCAGCACAGGTAGTAGCTAGTAACTCTGGGAAACTTAGAACCGCCCTCTTTAAGTTAAGGCCATCCATGGCCAAACTCGATTTTCATATTATACACTTAATAATGTGCTACTATTTAAATACACAGGCATAGAATTTATGCTAATAAAACTATTCCTAATTTATATGACAGTATAGCTTATGCATGTAGCATAGTTTTCTAAAGAACATTGTACCTGCTTTGCCGAGACATGTGCTAACCTAGTTTCTTAGCATTTTGTCTTGGTTATCTTTCTGATCCTGACTTCTGGGAATGTTCTTGTGCCATCTCAGTAGAGAATATTTGCTTTTGGAAAAGATAATGGATTCTGTGAGCACCGTGATAATGTATCAGAGATAAAGCTACTCTCAACTTCGCCCTTTCACCTTGCTTTAAACAACAACAAAAGGAAATGGAGCCCTGAGAGTTGTCTGCTCTGTGGCCTCCTTGGAAAATATATTTGAGTAGTGCTTTGAGATACATTGCAAACTCTCAAAAAAAATTAAATCTGAGTCAGATACTGGTTTATATAGTTAGCGTACACAAGAAAAGAATACAACTTTCTACTTTGAGAAGTGAGAAGAGCCTTGCTGTTGGTTCTATTATAATAGCATCAGCATACACAGCTGTCCTACGTCAGAATCTCCATTGATCGTCCACAAACATTAATATCTCTATAACCACCACGTGCTAGAGATTTCCCTGAAAAGCACTTGGATCAAATTGAGTCAGCCAGAAGGTAGATAAGCAGAAACCCAGGACTTTGTTCTCCTGTTCTGCTTGCCTGATTTTTCTGGAGATGAGATCGATCATTCCACTTCTAATAATTTCCTGATGTGCCAGAATTATAGCAGTGATATGCGCTTGCCTTTTCCTCATTGAGCATTCGTTAAGCATTCGTTCAGCACAGGTTGCTTACGGGCACTCCGGTGTGCCGAGTCCTGAGCACGGTCACAAAGGCAGTCGCTGAGCAGCTTCACAGAACACGTCCCAGTTTTCTAAGCATTTGATGTCACACAAACACATTGGGTCGCTGGGGGAACCTGTGAGGAAGACACTGCTTTCGTACCCATTTTGCGGATGCAGACTAAAGGCACAAGGAATGTCCTTCCGTCTTGTTTGGCCCAGAGTCAGCTCTTAACAACCTGCTGTTCTGCCCTGCTTTCTCCGTGCCTTTGCCTTTGCAGACCAGACCACTTACTCGCTGTGTTTGCTGGGGCGCTCGTGCTCAGGCTGTAGTGCTTGTAGCCGGCTGTTCGTTGTTGACTGTTCTAGCTCTTGCTGTAATTTGAATTATTTGTGCTTAACGTCTGCTTTTTCATTGTACACCTAATATGCAGATTGGCACATGTATGTATGCCAAATGAGTATTAACAACAAAGAAAATTTTAGGTGTGATGTTACTCAAGTTAATTTTGAAAGAAAAATGGTTATGGCCAAAACTTTTAGTTGTTGTGTGGCACAGTGATGACAAAGTGTATGTGTGTGCGCCTGACCTGGGACACATATACTGATGTGCATTCCTGTTGTAGAGGGAGGAGACGGAGGTTCATCTTCCTTCCTTCCTTCCTTCCTTCCTTCCTTCCTTCCTTCCTTCCTTCCTTCCTTCCTTCCTTCCTTCGTGCATTCCTTCCGTCCTTCCTTCCTTTCATTCTCCCTCCCTCCTTCCTTCATCCCTTCCTCTCTTTCTTTCCAGAGGAGTGGGGTGGGGTCTGGTTTAGGACTCAGCATAGAGACCAGGCTAGGATCAGAGGCAGGAGCCAGCAAGCTCTGCAGACGTGGCCTCTGCACGGCCATTCCGTCGCCGATGCTGCCGGGCGGTGGCACCTGTAGCTGTGCTGTCTCCTGCTCTGCCTGATTTGCCCTCTCTGTCACCCTAGTTTGGCCGTACTGTTCACTGCCATGGGCTGCCGAGATGTGCATGCGGCCACAGTGCTCTCCTTCCTGTGTGGCATTGCCTCTGTGGCAGGCCTCTTCGCGGGGACTCTGCTTCCCAACTGGAGGAAACTGCGGCTCATCACCTTCAACAGAAACGAGAAGAACCTGACGGTTTACACCGGCCTGTGGGTGAAGTGTGTCCGGTACGATGGAAGCAGTGACTGCCTGATGTACGACCGCACCTGGTACCTGTCTGTGGACCAGCTGGACCTGCGTGTCCTCCAGTTTGCCCTGCCTCTCAGCATCCTGATCGCAATGGGTGCCTTGCTACTCTGTCTGATTGGAATGTGTAACACGGCCTTCAAGTCCTCGGTGCCTAACATCAAACTGGCCAAGTGTCTGGTCAATAGTGCGGGCTGCCACCTGGTGTCTGGACTCCTGTTTTTCCTGGCCGGCACTGTCAGCCTCTCCCCATCCATCTGGGCCATCTTCTATAACACTCATCTCAACAGGAAGTTTGAGCCAGTCTTTGCCTTTGACTATGCGGTGTTTGTCACTATCGCTAGCTCAGGGGGTCTGTTTATGACCGCTCTTCTTCTGTTCATTTGGTACTGCGCATGCAAATCTCTGTCCTCGCCTTTCTGGCAGCCGCTGTACTCTCATCCTGCCAGTATGCACACTTACTCACAGCCCTACTCATCGCGCTCCCGCCTCTCCGCCATAGAAATCGACATTCCGGTAGTTTCCCATAGCACTTAACAGAGATAGAGTTAGCCGTCAGAAGTCCGTGTCGTACGGTAGCCTCACGGTCCCTTGCGTAAAGAGCCTTTTTGGACCTGTATATTTTTTCCTTTGTTCTTGACTAGTCAGTGGAGCCAAATTTATATATCTTGGTAGAGTGAAATGCTGCTAGATTTTATGAGGTATATATTACGTTCTTCTAAATGTGAAGCATTCCTTCTATCTTGCGTCTAATCCTAGAAGGGTATTTAGCCTCCCTGTTGATGTCTGGTGGCAGCTGAGGCGATGAAACAGCACAGAGAGGACAGGGCTGTTGTGCTCAATCCTGGCGGTATTTCAGATCCTGTTTGTCTCTGGCGGCCTAAACAGAAAAGAGCAGTTAAGTACAAGGAATTTCAGTCAGGAGAGGATTGCAGTTCGTCTCCGGGACTCTGCCAGCTCGAGGGTATAATTTTGTTCTCTCCTGGGACTAATTGAACAGGCACCAGTACACTGAAGATTACTATCTTCTACCTCATGTCAGTGCAAAGTGATAGCATTTTAAATGATGTTAGAGTAAGGCTAACATTTAAATATGGCTAACATTTAACTTCTTTTTTCGTTTTCAGACAGACTCTTGCTGTGTACTCCTGGCTGGCCTAGAACTCCCTCTCTAGACCAGGCTGCCCTCAAACTTTTCACTGTTCTCCCGTCTGCCTCCTGAGCAATGACTGCAGGCATGCCCAACCACACCTAGTGCTCCAGAATTTTTAGTTAGAGGTTTCATTGTTGGAGTTGAAATGTGCCAAGTGACAGGAAAGATAAAATCCTTTCCAGATACCCATCAGTCAGGTAGTCCTCATGCCCTGTACAAGCTTAGTGGCTAAGACAAGTGAACAAAAGATTGTTGAAGCCAAATGGTTGCCTTTTAGACCTCCATGGCAGGGCACGGGAGCCTGTTCTTAGTGACAGTGTAAGAGAGTCACGTGGTGGCTGCTGTGGGTAATGAGTGATGTGTGTGGTGACAGCTGGCCTGCTCAGCTCCCGCCCCTCCCTCACAGCTGACCTTTAGCCTGTAGTCCGCCTCACGCTGAGTAGTGCTCCAGGGGACACACAAAGGAGGATGTAGCTACATCTGTGTAGAAATTCTGACCTAATACAGAACAAACTGATAACAGACAACCAGCCAAAAGGCTGCTTTTCCTGGCAGCTGGTGACTTCTCAAGCATTGGTCCAGGAAAATATTTCAGCTGAGCCGTGTCTTCCTGGCACAGACAGCCTATGGCACACCAGCAGCAATGTCCTGGACACAGAGATTGACCTAAGTTACATCTCCCCTCGTAGCTTCCGAGCTGTGCTAACAGTTTCAGATAAGGAGAACGGGAAGGCGGTGGAGAGATTAAACTGTACCCTTTCTACCTCGGAGATTAAGATGATGCATTAGAGAGAGACAGGTTTTAAAAATGTCTCCTGATGTGATATCAAGCGAAAGAAAGCATGTTGATACTAAAGTAACACTTTGACATTAAGAGTTGTTGGGTCTTAACTCTTAGTGGTTTGAGCTGCTCAATTGATATAATTTCAGTGTACTAGCACTATGTTTGCAAGGATTGTGGTATATTATAGTTACAGATTTTTATAAGCGGCTGATTTTGTGATAAACAGTTCATGATGCCTCTTTTGCAAATCTGAGTATTTCTATAGAGATGTGTAGTAGTTTTCCCTAAGTCCAACACTACTTCATGTAGGCAATTAAAGCCAATTGTATAATTTTTAAATGCTGTCATTACAAAGCATGTACATCTATGGTTTTTTAAATTATCACTTTGAATCTTTATCACCTCTGGTTCTTCTTATTCATAGATATAGCTAAGTGTTGATCATTCCAAGACAATGGCAGCTGGATTTTGAGATTAGTATTAGTTTTTCTCCTTTGTTAGTTAGTCTTAGTTTTTCTCTCACTAAACTGTTGTTCAAAAGGGCCAAGAATTCCACCATCCCTTGGTTGTAGTATAAAGAGTTAAAAGTAGGGCCAGGCATGGTGGCTTTTGACATTAATTCCAGTACTCAGGAGGCAGAGACAGGTGCATCTCCCTGGACATCCTGGTCTCCATACCAAGTTCCAAGCCGGTCTGAGGTATACAGTGAGACACTGTCTCAAAAAAAATTTAAAAAGAGAAAAAGAAAACAAACGGACTCACTCAGCAGTGAGAATAGGAGAGTTTGCGGCTCCCAGGGTTGTACTGCAAATGCTAAGCTTTCTTAGGAGAGTCTATGGCATCATTATCTATAGCCTCCGGTTAGTATTTATTACGAATTCACTCAGGAAGAGAAACAGCTATTTCTGTATTGTCGTTTTGGTATTGCAGGTTTGACATAAATAGCTATTTTGTGAAGCCATCAAAGGAAAGCATGCACTCACAGTCCTTGGGAGCCTCCTGAGCACTCCTGGGCCATGTGAGATGGGGTGGATAACTTCTTCTGTTGTTTAAAAGCTGTTCATTTTAAAGGCATTCTGAGGGGCCAGCTTGGTCCACAACCTCAAATGTGAGATGGAATACCAGGCTTGTGTTGTCCAGCTTCAGAAAAGAATCAGTTCACTCTGCTTGTGTATGTGCCCTATGATGGATAGTGTGCGCTGTGAACCACAAGGTACAAACCTCCTTGGGTGTGGTGTGCTCCCTCGTGTTTATTAAAAGATGTATTTTTACAAGTTTGTCTCTGTTCTTTTCTCAGCTTTAAGGTAAAACAGTTTGAGAAATGCTTTTCAAGTATATGCCAGTGCAATGAAGGCACTCCTAAAGGACTGGACTAGGATCTAGAAGCCGGGAGTCGCTGCGACGCAAGGAGCCGTTGACGAGCTCGTCCTCCAGCCTCTGGGCCGTTCGCCAGTCTGCAGAAATGCTGGAGAAAGATGACAGCCGAGTCCTCTTCAGCAGTGAACTTCTGTGTTTAGGATGATCAGGAATCCCAAGTATTTAGGTAGGGGCATCTTTCCCCATCCAAAAGGGAAAGGTTACAGGAAAGTAAAGTCTGTGATGAGCTTTTGGTTTGAAATTACAGCCATCTGGAACCATTCCAGACATGAACTCCCCACTGAAACCCATGGTTTATTGTGGACTCTTAGGTGGAAGAACTATATGTTACACCAGAAATCAGAATCAGCTTCAAGTTGAGCATCCCAGCTAATGATACCTGAAGCGTACTAATCCAGAGTCTGCACTCAGTTCCGCAGACTCGCCGAAGGTGATCAAGTGCTAGAGAGTCATTTTATGCTAACCAGATCACAAGAGTCTGGGTTTTACCAGAAGTAAGAATACACATCATCACACCCGTTATCAGGATGTGCATAGGGTCTCTTGAAAAAGCTATCAGTGTTGAGGCAAGAAAAATGCAGAAAGAACCCAGAACACCTGCTGTGAGCGCCCTGATGGTGCATTCAGTTGCATAGCAGCCAAGCCCAGGAGCTCCCACTCGGCAAATCTGAAACCCTGAGCTTCGCAGTGAATAATAGGAGTTTGTGGCCCACTGAGTAGAGTCAGCCATATGATCACACTGATAGAAATGACAAGAAGTCACTTCTTACAGTTAAAAAAAAGGTATAAAAAAATCATTGATAAGATAGGACACTAGTATCTTTCAAGTGGGTTTCTCTTCCCCAATGCTTTTATTTCTGTGTCTATAGAGAATGTCCTGCCTGTTATCACTTACATGCCTGGAGCCTTAAGAAGCCAAAAGAAGACATCAGATCTCCTGAAACAGGAGTTACTCACAAGTGGAGCTGCCACATGAATGTTGGGGATCCAACAAGGGTCCTCTGGAAAAAAATCAGTATTCTTAACTGCCGAACCACCAGCCCAGCCCCTGCCATATGCTTTTTCTTGCCTGTATTTCTAGAAAATAAAGCTGTGGAGTGGAATGGCCAAAAGGCTGCCCCGAGAGCTGGCAGCCCTCCTCTGGGGTAAGCAGGTGCCTGGAAGGCTCACCTTGTCCTTTGTCCCTCTGACTACACAAACTCACAGAGACCTGCCTACTTCTGCCCCCTGGGTGTTGGGATTAAGGGATGCCACCACACCAGGCTCTGGCTACTTTAAGAGCTCAAAGGTAAGGAATGGGATGCTGGTGCCAGGTAGTGGTCCCCAAAAACCGACATCCATACACAGGAATGACAAGTTGGTGGCTTGAAATTGGTCACAGTGGGAGCATTTGTGCCTCCGGAATTACCAAGTGCTGCAAGTCAGTGCCCTTTCCTCTGATTACTGCACATTTACCAGCGTACTCCTGCCCAGAAGAGATTAAATTGCTGAGTTTCCGATGGGTTAATAAGGAAATTAGGAATCATAGCCAGTGCTGGGAGTTGTAAAGCTTTGTTGACTGATGAAGGAATCACCTGAAAAGCCCCTTAATTGGTGTTCGGCTCTCCACCAGTACTCTGGCCCCTCCCCTACCTAGGACGTCCCGTACACCAAACAGAATGATGTAATAAAATTTAGGTGGTCTGCTACTGGGCAGCCATCCCCTCGCATCCACGTTTGTGGCCAGCTATGCTGTGCCGCCACAGGGGCAGGAAGCAATTCCTTTTTTGGGGGAGAAGGATTTTCGAGACAGGGTTTCCCTATAGTTTTGGTGCCTGTCCTGGAACTAACTCTTGTAGACCAGACTGGCCTCAAACTCCCAAAGATCCACCTGCTTCTGCCTCCCGAGTGCTGGGATTAAAGGCGTGTGTCACCACTGCCCTGTGCAATTCATATTTTTAAAATGCATAACTTTATCTAGCCACTTGTATCTGCAGTCACTCATTTGAAAGTACCACGGCTATTTTCTCAGCTGAAAATAGTTTATTCTAGAACTCCTTAGCAGTTGAGTTGACTAGCTTTCTTATGATAGAAAGTCATTAGCAGTTGAGTTTACTAGCTTTCTTACCATAAAAGAGCTAAGGCGGTGGAGAAGGAAGCGGAGACATCCTGACTTTAGTACACGACATTTAATCTCATTACTTTCCTAACACTAAATCAGAGGGTTTCACACTCCCAGAGAGGACACAGAGCACCCTTGGTAGGAGAGGATGAGATTAGTGGAAGAACCACAGTGCCAATGGTGTTAGCTAGGTAAAATAGGCTTGGACAAAGAACAGAAGAAATCATTCCTGACACCTTGTGGTAAGGGAGAATTATCTATAGCTCAGCTCAAAGGAAATCTGCACCCAAAAACGAATGATGGATGCAAATTCCACTTATTCAAAGAGTTAAACACAGGTAAGTATTAAAGTAAATTTACATGGCAAAGAACAAAGTTGTCCTGCCCTTGGTTTTTGGGGGGGTTTTGGTTATTTGATTTTGAAGTGTTTTATTTTTGTTTGTTTTGTTTTTTGGTAAAAGCCCCACCATCACCAGTTACGTGTTATGAGTCTGGCAGCCTGTGTTTCTATGTTGAAATGCTTTTTTTCGTTTTGACAGATGCCTCTGCAGTCTATTTTAGAAACAAAGGCACCCAGACTGCCAAAGAAATTAACAGTGAATGGCACAAGCATGAATAATGCCAATGCCAAATAGAAGCGCGACTACCCACGTCCCCAGCTCTACTGGCGCTCTTTGGGGGCTTTGTGACATGAGGGCAGGACCAGCTTCCTGAGCATTGTGGAATCACAGTTGAAGGACTTTTCAGTTGTTTCTACTTTCTAGCTGTTGTGAATATAGCAGCAACAAATAGTACCAAGCAGGTATCTCTGAAGAACACTTGAATGTTCACCACCTTAGCCATCAGGGAAATGCAAACCAAAACTACTTTGAGATTTCATCCTACGCCTATCAGAATGCCTAGGATCAATTTTAAAAAAGTGACAGCTCATACTGGCGAGGATGTAGAGTGACAGGAACATTCATCCATTGCTGGTACGACTTCAGACTTGTACAACCACTATAGAAGTCAATATGGCAGTTCATCTGAAGATGGAAGTCAGTCTACCTTAAGATCCAGCTATACCACTCTTGTACATATACACAAAAGATGCTTCCTCCTACCTCAGAGACACTTGCTCAACCATGTTCATTGCTGCTCTATTCAAAATGGCCAGATATTGGAAACAACCTAGATGTCCCTAAACGGATGAATAAAGACAATGTAACTTTACACAATGAAGTTTTTATTCAGCTGTTGCTGCATGCCTTTAATCCCAGTACTCAGGAGGCAGAGACAGGTGGATCAATTGAATTCGAGACCAGCCTGATCTCTAGAGTGAGTACCAGGACAGCCAGGGCTATGGAGAAACCCTGTCTTGAGAAACCAAACAACAAATGAAATCATGAAAGTCACAGGTAAATGGATGGAATTATGTAAAAAAAAAAAAAAAATCTGAGTGAGGTAACCCAGGTCCAGAAAAACAAATATGGTATTTGCTTATATGTGAATATTAACTACATTAGTGATAACCAAGCTACAGAACACAGGTTAAGTATAGAGTGAGGGACTGGGTGGGGAGGGGAGGGTGGAGCAGATAGAACTCTCAGAGAAAAGGAAAGAGATAGTTTGGATGGATGGGGAAGGGCAGACTGGAACAGGAGGGTCAGATGAAAAGGGGGAGGGAGAGAAGGATGAGGGAGGGAATGCAGAGAGAGCTAAAATTTAAGGGCCATGTGAGGGGTAGTATGGAAACTTAATTAAGTAGAGATTTCCTAAAATACATACATATGAGGGTGATCTAAGTGAAGTCACCAAATACTGAGGAGACAGAGTCATCTCTTGCCACCAAATGAATCTTCCAATACCAGGATTGAGTTACATCTAATTAAGTTGTTGGTCAAAGGGGTCCCATGGGAACCCTGCCAACAACCAACACTGTTGTCAAGACTATAGGTTGCTCTCCACAAACTGCAAGGCCCCATTTCTGAAGATAGCACCTACATAATTCACTGAACACGGTTGTTGTGCCAAGCCATTGCCTACATAGAACCTCTGTGTTCTAGCGTCTTTGGTACAGGTGCTCTGCAGCCTATCAAAGGAGAAACCTAGACAACAACCCAGCCACAAACCCTTTGATCTACAATGCTGTCCTGTCTGCAAGATATCCTGGGGGCACAAAGTTTGTGGGAGAAATCAACTAATATCTGATTTGATTTAAGGCCCACTCCATGAGACGGAATTCATACCTGATATTGCTTGGATGACCAAGAACTTGAGATTAGGGACCTAGGGTAAAACCAAATACTGTTTTAAAAAGAAAAGAAGTAGCAATGAAATGACTCCTAATAAACAGTGCCTTGTTCAGCCATCACCGAAGAAGCTTCTTCAAACCCTCCTCTCAGGTCTCGGTGGGCCCTGCAAAATAGGCAGCCAGAGGGGCTGAGGACATCAAGGAAACAAGGCCTCTAATCCACATGATCAATGCACATTTGAACTCACAAAGACTGAGACAGCACACATGTAGCCTGCACAGGTCTGCACTAGATGGGGTTCTAGAGCTGGAAGAAGTGGACTCAGCCCCGTCCCTAATTCAGAAGTGATCTCTAGTTGATAACCAGTTGCAAGTGAAAATTTAACTTCGTTCAAGCAAGTTTCACATAGGCCGCATGCTTAACCACAAATGGCCAATAGGAAATGAACTCAATGCGTCTTTAGAGGTTCCTGCCTCATAATGTCAGGGTTCTTACTATTTTATCCTGTTATCTTTATTATATGTATTTTTTCCTTCTCTCTTTTTGCGCTTCAGGTCCTTTGTGTAAATGTTATGGCTTCCAGTTTCCTGTTTTTATGAGATTCCTGACTGTGAATGAGAAGGTCCCTTTCTTGTGGCTTTTCTTGGGTTCTTTATGTTTGTTTGCTTTGTTCAGTTCTGATGTGTTCGTCTTTGCTTCATCTTATTATATTATAATCCCATTTAAAAAAGAAAAAGGGGTGCTGGAGAGATGGCTCAGCGGTTAAGAGCCCTAGCTGCTCTTCCAGAGGTCCCGAGTTCAATTCCCAGCACCCACATGACGGTTCCAGGGGATCTGGCACCCTCACACAGACATGTATGCAGGTAAAACACATAAGATAAAAATAAATTATAAAAAAAGGAAAAAGAGGTAATGACTTTGGGGGGCAAAGAAGGAGGCAGAGGGAGAGTGGAAATGGTGTACAGTACTCATATGCAAGATTACCAAAAAATCTTTTAAAAATGTAATAAAAACCTGTACAGTCACACAGCCTGACCCTAAGAGGGAACCTTGTTGCAGTATTCTGATTACTGCCCTAAAATATTTATCTCAGAAGAGCCCATGAATTTTCATTTTGACCAGGGATACACAAAGTATGTGGACTATTTATGTGAAGACATTCTGGGGAAAGCAACACACAAGCTTTGGAACCAGGGAGATTTGGGATTCTGTCCAAACTGCTTCCCATAAAGGCTGCTATCCCACAGAAACCATGCTCTCAGCCTCAGCCAGTACAATCTCAGCTACCTACTGGCGCAATTGTGAAGGGTAGGCATCACCGAGGTGCAGGAAAGACGTGCAGGAGAGCATGCTTTAATTATAATGATTACTCAGACAAGCAAGTCTGTGTAGTCAGCCCCCGCTGAGATCGGTGCTCGTCACAAAAATACATGTCTTTGGAAAAATAGATCTCTTTACAGGAAGCTGCGGCTTCCACCATCTTGCTATCGCCAGGATCCTCATAGCTCCTCATCAGCGTAGTGGAGACAAAGACAGGAAGCAGTCCCCTTAAGTTAGCTATTGCTTATAGTGTAGTCATATTTTAATGATCCTATTAGGCACACAAGTCAGTGGAAATAAAGTGAATAGAAAGATCATGAGATTCAAATGTGTGTTTGTCCTTTCTTGCAGCTATGATGGAGGATTTCCCCCCTGTTTCCATTATCAGAACTGCAGGTTCCTTCTCATTTCAAACCTGTCCCCAGATAATTGCAACCAAAGAACTATGCCTTGATTGCTCACCACTTTCAAAGGATGATATTGAGGCACCAACTTAGCAAATAGAAAGTGTCCTCTGGTTTCTACTGCTGCCATGTAACACCATGACCACAAGGTAAGTTGGGGAGGAAAGGGTTTATTTGGTTTACGCTTCTATGTCACAGTTCCTCATCAAAGAAAGTCAGGATGGGAACTCATGCAGGGTAGGAACCTGGAGGCAGAAACCGAAGCAGAGGCCATGAAGGAGTGCTACGCCTGGCTTGTTCCCTGTGGCTTGCTTAGCCTGCTTTCTCACAGAAGTCAAGTCCACCACCCCAACGATGGCACGACCCACAGTGGGCCCTCCCCATCAGTCACTAATTAAGAACATGATCTACAGGCTTGCCTACAGCCCAGTCTTATAGAGGCGTTTTCTCAGCTGAGGGTCCCTCCTGTCTGATGACTCCAGCTTGTGTCAAGTTGACAAACTATCCAGCGCAGAAACCAAATCTTCAGTGTTACTGTGATCCGTTGTGCAGTCCCCTGCAGAAGAGAGCAGGGAGCTAATAGACCCCCAACATTTCATACAATTAGATCATGTGTCCCAAGCCAACTTAGGAGATTCTGCCTAAATAGCCTATTTTCATTATTTTGTGGCCGTTAATGTTATGTGGTCACCACAAATGCCAAATTAGCAAATCCTGAAACATTGCACTCAGGAGATGCCTGGGAACCTCTGGTTAAATTTTAATCAGTTGGTCCGTTCAGACTGTTGTATGTGTGCTTCTGTTTAAATACCTTATGTGTGAGCAGTGTTGACTTACAAACACAGCTCACGGTCGGCAGCACTATGAGTCAATAAAAGAGCAAAGCTACATAATGCATTCATTTCCCCTTCATGCATACACACTCTTCTGCTTGTGAACACTGCGCAGCAATCCCAGACTATCCTGGGGCCAGGGCTCTTAGCAAAATCAACACACACACACACACACACACTCCCTTATGTACCATACACACCCACACAGCAACCCTCCACACATACTACACACACCTCCCTCACCCCCAACCCCTCACACACCACACACACAGACCACACAGCCACCCATCCTCTGCATACCAGAAACACATATCACACACATACCACACCATACCAAAGACACACATCCCCCCGACACCACCATACCACACATTCACACCACAAACTCACTCCACACACCACACACTCATATACACACCGCACAAAAGCATGGGAACACAGCACTAAGCATACAACAGAAAAGATGTTTGTGCTTAGTGTGAGAGCTGAGATAGAAAGCCAGAGCTTGCTTGTTGGTCCCCACTGGAATCAAGGGTTTGGCACCCACAGACATGTTTTCAACTCTGCAGATGTCTGATCTCAGAGCACAGTGCGCATTGACTTGGGTCATAAGCAGATTTTTGTGAGAAGGCTAATTCATAAATACGGAATCTGGGAGAGTAAAGGTCAGTGGGGGATGCAATTGAGAGGCAACAGTTTCAAGGCGTTGGATGAGAGCAGAAAATGAACTTAGTGTTATATAAGATGCATGTATGCTGGGCATGGCAGCACATCAACTTATTCCTGTAACCCCAATACTTAGGAGCCCGATGCAGGAGGATTACTAGTTGAAGCCCAACTCAGGATACATGGGAGCACTCTGTGTCAAAAATAAATGCCCAAGCTGGGCGGTGGTAGTGCACGCCTTTAATCCCAGCACTTGGGAGCAGAGGCAGGCGGATCTCTGTGAGTTCGAGGCCAGCCTGGTCTACAAGAGCTAGTTCCAGGTCAGGCTCCAAAGCTACAGAGAAACCTTGTCTCGAAAAACTAACTAACTAACTAACTAACTAACAAATAAATAAATGCCCATCTATGCGACATTGGACCATATGTCTTTTATTTTGGAGAGGACAGAGCAGAGAACCTATGAAATGGGAAGAACTCTCTCATGCTAGCCTCTGTCCTGACTGCAGGGTGGCTTTGGGTTGGCACCTGAAACTCACTGTTGGTGTTTGTTGGCCTTCTCTTCTGTAGGACCAGTAATAGTCATCTTCCTTCTCCCAGTGCAGTTCCCAGGGGGAGACAACCAAGTCTGGCTTACCAAGCTGAGGCAGCCGGCCATGCCGTGTCGAGGCTGGGTAAGGTATGGCAGAGGGTCTTTATGACATGACCGTGTACTCGGTAAGCACCGATTATGCAGCCCTGTTTAATCTCCGTTTCTGTCCTGAAAGAAGTTCTTGTTGCCCAACTTTATAATTACTAAGCCTCGTGTGTACAAGAAACTCTCGTGTTTGGAACTCCTTCATCAGCAGCCGATTTCAGTATTTGCTTTAGTGATTGGTCTGTTTATACTGAAACAAGTGATATCTAGTCAGTATGCATTTGTGCCTATTTATTTTAGATCGGCATAAAGGATGCATATGTACTCATTAGTGGTATGATATGGCTGACTCTGGATTTTGATAAGGTGCGTATCAGCTGGGGCCTGTGGCTGAGATATTCAGACTTGCCGGTGGGAGGACGACTCTGAATGAGTGCATTTACAAAGCACTCAGCTGGGAAGGCCCCTCAAGCCCCGGCTACGAGTCAGGTCGTTCTCATATGCTCTCCATTCAACTGTCCTAAGGTTCACTCACAGGGCGACTTTTCTAAGACTCCGCAGCGCTTTAAAAGCCACCAAACTAATGCTGTGTAACTCTACCCAGTTTTAGAGGAAATCTCTTTAGACGAAGACACTTTTTAAAATTTGAAGAAATGTGGTTTTTCAAACTGCAGTGTGACACAGCCACACACTTCACATTTTACACCCGGCACTTCACACCCACCTTGTGTGGCTTAGATGCGTGCTGCGTGTGGAACAACCCTGACATCTAGTGGAAGACTTCAGTAATTACAAGGAATTTTCTTGCGCTGTTTTTCTCTACTAAATTCATGTTAAGGGCCCTTTGTACAGGGTGAGGAGAAATCAGGGTGCACTAAACCTGGGGATGCTGCCAGTGCCGTTTCACCCTAAAGTTTCACCAGTTTATTCTGACACTGCTTAGGACAGTTACCTGCATGTGTCGACTATAGACTCATTTTAATCTTTATTTCATATCTTAAAAAGATTTATTTAGCCTTTAATCCCAGCACTCGGAAGGCAGAGGCAGGAAGATCTCTGTGTTCGAGGCCAACCTGGTCTACAGAGAGAGTTCCTGGACAGACAGGACTACACAAAGAAACCCTGTCTCAAAAAACCAAAAGAAGAAAATAAGATTTAGACCCAGTATATGTCTGTGCATGTGTAAGTGCTGTGCCCATGGTCCAGAAGAGGCCATCAGGTCCCACGGAGCTGGAGCACGGGTGGTTGTGAGCCTCTGGTGTGGCTGCTGAACTCTTTCCTGCAGGACTAAGCAGCCTTAAGTGCTGAGCCATTTCTCCAGTTTCCTTAACCTTCATTTCTGCATAGGAAGGACCATTGTTCTCATTCTCCTTCCTTGTTCATCCCTTTGTTTTCCCTTGACATCTGGCTCCCATCTATACCTTGCTGTCGTAAGATTTTCCATATTGAAGAGATGTGTGTGCCATTTATCACCTCTTGCATAAAAACACCTCAATATGTCATTTATTGGTTTTCATTTTTATTTGGGGAGTGAGTTTTTTGTTTGAGACAAGATCTCCAGGCCAGGCCAGTCTTCAGATGGCTTTAGACTTTTAACTGCACCCCCCCACCCCAGTGTAAAGCTGCAAGTGTGCATTATAGTTCCTGTTGTGACAGGCAGACTCTGGGGTTTGGTGCACAACAGGCAGGCGTCACTACTGGGGCACATACTGCTTTATGTGGTTGTGATTTTTTTTTTATGAAATGAGGTATAATGACACTTTCATTTATAATTATAAAGGAAATTAACTTTCATGTCACAGATAAAACGACTGCCTCTCCTCTCAGAGTATCTTAGTTATGGTGTCTGTTGCTGTAAAGAGATACCACGACCACAGAAATTCTTATAAAGGAAACATTTATCAGAGGTGGCAGCTTACAGTTGGGAGATTCAGTCCATTATCATGGCCGGCAGCATGGCAGCCTACAGGCAGACGTGGTGCTGGCTACATCTTGATCAGAAGGCAACAGGAAGTGGCCTGCAACTCTAAGAGTAGTTTGTACATAGGAGAGCTCAGGGCCCACCCCCACAGTGACTCACTTCCTCCAACAAGGCCACGCCCACTCCAACAAAGCCACACCTCCTAACAGTGCTACCCACTTTGGGAGTCATTTTGTTTCAAACCACCACACAGAGAATAAGAATAAAAAAAATCATTTATGTTTACTAGGTAACATGCTGTGTACAATTAAGTTTTTATTCATCTAAACCTTTCATCCTGATATTTTAACAGTAGAAAGATAGAACATTATTTTTCCCTAGCAATGTAAAGATGATTTGCAAATCTAAATACAGCTATGAAGAAAGATTATGATGTGTGCCCATATACTGTGATGGGAAACAAACCAATATAAGTGAGAGCAATATTAATTCCATTTATGCAGAATAATTATTTACCTGCAAGGACATAGAAAATGTCTGAAAGGGTGCATACAGGTATGTCATGGTTATGCACACATAAGACTATTATTAGTGTGGGGCTGGAAAATGGCTTAGTGGTTAAGAGCACTAAATGCTTTTCCAGAAGACCTGGGTTCAATTCCCAGCACCTACATAGCAGCTTACAACCATTTATATCTCTGGTCCCTGGGAATCTGCCGCCCTCTTCTGGCCTCCATGGGTACTGCATACAGGTGGTACACAGACTTTCATGCAGGCAAAACATAACAATTTTTAAAAGCAAGTAGTGAGCTCTTCTAGGAGTACATATTGGACAGTGGCAAGAGAAGCACTGTTTTACCTTCGAGACTATATGGTTCTCTACCATTTGAACATATTGTCATGAGCATATATTAGTTATGTTATATAAATTGTTTTCTAAAGAACATTTTATAGTATGGGGAGATGTAATGGTTTGTGTTTGTGTGCCCCCTAAAGGCCCAGGTATTAAATGAAGGCACAGTTCCCAACTGGGCACTGCGAGGTGGAAAATGTAAGAAATGGGGTACAGTAGAAGACCTTGGGCATTGTGGGCATACCTTGAAAGGCTGCAGTGGGGCTCTAGCCCCATTCCTTCTTTTCTCCTGATATCTGTTTGCAGCTGTGAGGAAGATTTCCCCTAGCATGGGCCCCTGCCATGATACCCTAGCTTGCAGCAGACGCCAGAGCAGTGTGCTACCTGACCCCAGGACTGGAGCCTCCAAGACCGTGAGCCAAGCAAATCCTTCCCTCTTTGATGTGGGTCATCTCAACACAGGAAATCGTCAGGATCTCTACCTGCAAACAAGTTACAGAGCAATGAATAAAGTGCCCTGATCTAGAAAACAAAAGGACCCTACGTAGAGAAAAAGTGCAAGGTGGATCTACACCAACAAATGCTATCAGTGACTTTGGAGTGAAAGACCCTGAATGGATTTGTTTTCTGTTGCGCTAACCTCTATTGTTTAACCACTTTATGGTAAATATGTGTGACAGCTGGGACCAGAAGAGGGAAAAAGAAGTCACTACTTACTAAGATGTATGCACAGATCTCTGTGGGGCACTTTAACTTCAGTTTCCCAAATACCCCATACCATTCTCTCTCTTCCCCACCCCAGCTAACTATCATATCCTTACACGGTGGCCCCCTGAGGGGGTGGTGGCCCACACCTGTAACCCCAGCACTCTGGAGTTGAAGGGGAGGACAAGTTAAGGCCTATTTGAGCTATGTAGATGGTGATAACATTTAAAATAAAAAAAAGCAGATACAATGACAACAAGAATGTTAATTCACAGATTTTTTTCCCTATGAGATTAGACTTGGAGGCTGGGGATGTGTTTAAACATCAGAGTGTTCCCCAGCAAGCATGCAGCTCTGGTTCTGTCCTCCGCACAGCATGGAACTGGGCTTGGTGGTACATCCTATAGTCCTGGCCCTTAAGAGCCCTTAAGATCAGAAATCCGAGTTTATCCGTGAGCCCACAGTGCTTTGATTTGGTTTTTGAGACAGGCCCTCTCTATATGGCCCTAGGTGTCTTAGAACTGCTATGTAGAGTAGGTGAATTTGGAACTCAGAACTCACAGATGTCTTCTGCTTCTGCCTCCCAGGTACTAGAATTAAGAGTGTGCACTGCTACACATGGCCTACCCTGTGGTTAAACACCATTCACATGAACAGTTGGGGAGCCTTCACTATTACATGGATACACCCGCTTTCCCCTAAAATATGCCTGCTTTCACTCTCCGACATCTAAATCATGTTGACTTTTCATGGACCTCCACCTGGAAATCGAAGGCTGTGTAGAGCCTCCTGCAGCATCGGTGCACGGAGAGCAGTCTAACACTCCTCTCACCTTGTGGATGTATCCAGCCTGCCCGGATGTGAGTGTAACTCTGCAGGTCTGTTAAGTAGCGGGCAAAATCGGAGCCCGGACTTGTGACATTTTCCTCCCGGGCCCACAGGCACTACGTGGAGTAGAGACGTGAAAACAAGCTTCTCCGTGAGGGGAAGTATTTGCACAAAGAGCACCAACTCTACGTGTGACTCCAGCTTGTTTCAAGCATGGCTTAATCTACTGGCCAAAGTGCGGAAGACGTTTCCACCAAACACCAAAAGCACACGCGTGTTTAAACTAATCTTATTTCATGTTGTGATTCTCTAGTTTAAATAAGAGACCATAGGAACATCTTTCTCCTGCTCCTTATATAAATAGGGCTTAAAAACATTTTATAATGAAATATAAATACAACTCTAGAAAGCAAGGGAAAGGATAGTAATGCTTCCTCCCTGCTATTATACAATACACCTAAACATGTTCCCATAAATTTTTATTTAATTTTTTCTAAGCAATAAAATTCCTACAATTGTGTCTCAAATCCTATTGCATTGGCCAGAGATACCTAACAATCTGCCTTTTGTATATTAATCCATAAATATTTACATAATACCTTTGAATTTAGCATTTTTAAAAATACAATTTGTTTTTTGTTTTTTTGGTTTTTTTTTTTTTTTTGCACTGGGACGTAAGATGGCTCAGAGGGTAAACGCAGTTGCCGCACGATCTGACACCTGAGTTCGATCCCTGTAACCCACGTGGTGGAAGGAGAGAACTAAATCCAGCAAATTGGCTCATCTCCATGCATGTGCTATGCACACACATACACACACACACACACGAAATAATTTGCACTTATTTTAAATGACAGATTTATCATGTCTGCCTCTGTGTTCCACCCAAAGTAGTTTTGCGATTTGCGTTGTAAACAACAGGCTTCTGTGATACGACAAATAGGATTCTGTCCCAACCACATTTCTGATCATCATGGCTAACACACAGGAGTCCCTAATGCCTTGTACTCAAGGACACGTTCTGAATTCTCTGATTAGTCTGAAGGGCTTGCAGCCCTCCTTGGATTTGCTATGTGGGCGATCATCTGGAAACAGCAGCAAGTGTTCTCAGAATGGCCGTCTCTTCATCATGACTTGGGCTTTGCAGGACCCCTGATTACTGAGCCAAAACTGCTCTCCGGTGTTTATGTTCCAATGCAGACTCTTTTCCTCCCCCATCCTGAAGCTTTTCTTAAGGGATGTAGCTGGGTGTGTCCTTCTCGATCCCTGCCTGTCATCCAGAGGTTCATTTCCCACGGGTTGCTTGGTGCAGCTCCAAATGCCCACCCTAAAGCCACAGAACCGGAAGCACATGCATGACCTTGTCTTCAGAAAAACATGCTGGGGGGATGGAGAGATGGCTCAGTGGTTAAGAACACTGACTGTTCTTCCAGAGGATCTGGGTTCAATTCCCAGCACCCACATGGGAGCTCAGAACTGTCTATAATTCCTGTTCCAGGGGACCCAACACTCATGGCAAAACACAAATGCACATAAAATAAATATTTTTTTAAAAAAGAAAAACATGTTACATCACGTGGGAATAGCTCTAGTTTCATATACCAGTGAGCTTTTGGAGAGAGCTTTTCATAATGAGAAGGTTTTTCTTCAGATTTCTGAATAAACTGAAGCCTTCTCTTTGTCCGTCGGCGACACAAGCTGGGGCAGCACTCTGATGAGTTCAACCGCATTTGCTCCCATTGAAAAGAGTAACAGGAAAAAATCAAGGTCAGAGACCCAATGTCTTTGTGGTGTTCATTCTGACCACCTCTCAGTGCTAGGGGAGCAGCCCCATAATGTCATAAGTCAGGAGACCCTGAGAGAATGTTGTCCAGTTTCCCTAAGAGCTGGAGAGTCACAGCTTCCAGTGTGCCCTTCCTCATTATTATGAGGTGACGTAAAGGACATTGCCCCCAAACTCTGAGAAATAGAAAACACATATATAATTATATATAATTATTCTACCTGTTCCTTTTTAAGTTGCATCAGTGTGAAACCCAACACATGCATGCAAATGTGTGAATGCACTGATGAGAAGAGAACCTAGCACCTCCTGGATGTGAGATAGTTAATCTCTGCTGTCAAGGCGAGGAGATCTAGGATCACTTGGGAGATGGACCTCTGGGCAAGCCTGGGCTAGGTTATCTTCATTGGGTTAACTGAGGGGGAAAGAGCTGCCCATGGTGGGTGGCACCATTCCCTGTCCTGCACTGTGTAAGAAGGGGAGAGGAGGTGACCCTGAGCTTCCTTTATTCTCTGCTTCCAGGGCAGATGCCTGACACCGCCTCACACTCCTGCTGTGACTCCCCCGGAGATGGACTGTAACCTCAAACTGGGAACCAGCACCGACTTTCCTTTTAGAAGCTGCTTTTGGCAGGGTATTTTTTTTTCATCACACTTTTTAAAAATATTTTTCACGGGCTGGAGAGATGACTCAGAGGTTAAGAGCATTGCCTGCTCTTCCAAAGGTCCTGAGTTCAATTCCCGGCAACCACATGGTGGTTCACAACCATCTGTAATGAGGTCTGGTGCCCTCTTCTGGCCTGAAGGCATACACACACAGACAAAATATTGTATACATAATAAATAAATAAATAAATATTAAAAAAATATTTTCAGAACATTTTTGAAGCTAGATGAGAAATTGTTTAGCAGAAGCACAAGCAATACTGATGGAAGGAGATTCCATTCTCCTGGAGAATTTGAGCCAGATTTAAGACTAAAGCAAAGATTTTGATTTAATTTAAAAATCCCCTGCCAAAGATATGACCTTCATTTTTTTTCCCATGAGATGTCTTTTAGAGCTTGCCTGAAAAACAAATTCAACTCACGTGAGAATGTAAATCAAGTTAGGGTATGAAATAACATATGCTGCTTACTGGCTTCATACAAGCTGGGTGGTGGAGTTTAGGTTGCCACAAACTTCGGGATACCCAAGAAGACCTTTTATTTCAAGCCCGAAATGATTAGACGATGAAAATTGTTCTTTAATAATTAAACGTGCCATCTGTAGCAGGCAATGTGACCTTTCACCCGCGGTCTCTCACGCTGTTCTAGAATTTCTGCAGTTGGCACATATGGCATCAGAAATCCATTGATACTCTCCTTTGAAATATTAGAGGGGCGGGCTTAAGGCAGCTGTTCCTGTGCTGCCAGGTTCCATTGCGATACAGGCTTTAAATGCCCTTGGCTTGTCGTTTTGAGTTAACATACCTTAATCACAACTCTCGCCATAATATAATTCAGCCGATGCCTGAAACCCAATATAGTGGAACATTTGCTGAATAGTGCACTTAGCAACATTCACCAGGCAGAACGTATGTGTTTTCCATTGAAATGTCTTTTCATGCCATGTATGTGCCCTCAGAAATGTCATGTAGATTATAAACACTCCTTGTTCTGTAACAACGGAATACCAACAATTTCCATTATGCTCCCCCCTCCCTTGTTAGGAATGCACAAAGACTGTGGCGTTTGAGGAACTAGCTGCTCCAAGGCTTAGAGACTGATAGCGCTACTAAAATATTGATGTGACCCTGTCATTCCGTCAACACAGTAATTAGACAGCCGTAATGAGAACGCTTGTCTGTTTGTCTTAAATGTCTCACCGGGCACCTTCTGCAGTTTGCTGAGTCCTTTTACAATGGTCAGAGTGAAGGGATGGGCATCAGTTACCGCAAGCATGGTTTCCGAGCGTCTTTAGAAGGGATGGATGGAGGCACAGGCTGGAGCAGTAGTCCCTTGTTAACCTGCTAACCTGCGGCAGACGGGAACTCTCCATCTGTTGACCTTCCACAGGCCGTCCATTTACAAGTTCAGTTGTCAGACTACATTTGAATGCCTTTAGGGTTGACCTTCTGCTGCTTTTAGAGATAAAGGTGACTCTCCACTTCCGTGTAAAGCCTTCCGACGGACATTTTGCCAAACCAGACATCAATATAGTAGGCTTATTTTTTTAAAATACGCTTATATTTTTATTTAAAAGTCAAACTGCTAGGAAAACAGTCCTAGAAAATGGTGTCCAAATTTGCTCCTTACACATTAACAGTCAGAGACCCAGAGAATTTATCTTATTCACTTTGCTGATATAAGTATTGTTCAAAGCTGGAATTCAACATGTTGAACTTGAGATAGAGGCTCACTGAGCATTAAGACATATTACACAATGGGTTATATCAACCCTTTTCCTCTTTTAACTGTGAAGATAGAAAATCAGTATGCATTTGTCTTTCATTTCTTTAAAAGTACTTACTTATGAGTTCTTCCTATAATGGGGTATGGGAGTTTTATCATCATAGATGAGACATTGGATAACTTAATGTTCGGCTAATAAAGGTACCAAGCATGTAAAGTAAATACACGTAATACAAAGTGATTTTGTGCCTGTGTAGGAGGGGATACGGCTCTGGCTATGCTGGTGAAACCCTGGTGAAGCTTCCAAGTCCACCCTCATCCTTCTCGGCTCCACCTTACCCTCTGCAGCCTGTAGTGCCTGCGTTTCTCCGCTCCTCCGCCTTTGGAAAGGCAACGGGAGGAGAGAGGCAGAGAAGTCATGCTATGCGATTCCCCTACTCTATCAGACACGCTTATCTCTGCAGCTTTAAGACTGCAGCTGTGTTGCGGTAGAGCAGCCTCCTGTGCAGTCCCTGCTGATGGTCTCTGATGGCATCTTCCTTTACTGTTTGTTACCTGTAAGTGTGTCACCGACCTGTTCTTGTAATTCCTGCCAAACCTCTGTGTTTCCACTGATGCAGGGGGGTAAGAAAGAGTGAAGAGTAACAGAGACGCTGCTTCACGTTTACGCTTTGAGCACGTCCCCTCCATGGACCAGAACTGTTTAAACTAAAAACATGCCGTTATTGTTGCCACCAATAGATGGCGCTAGTAGTCACATCTAGACATTCATGGACAGGATTTCTTCAGTTTGTTGACTAGTTCCATCTTTTGAAATTGTTTAGATATTAACTCTGTACCTGATCAATGCAAATGTCTAAGAAAGTGTTTGCAAACTATTTTAGTGAACACACATTTGCTTATGACTAAGGCGAGAACAGAGATTATGTAAGAAGCAGGGAAAGAGAGACGGTAGGATTTGTACATTGTGGGGTGGGGACCGGGAATAATTTTGAAAGACAGAGTACGGGAAACAAAATAGAAAACTGAATGATAACAGAGAAATCCTTCAAATTAGTTTGCCACTATTACAGTGTGAATTGTGTTCCCTCCAGATTTCTGTGAGGAAGTCCTGGCCCCAGGATGACAGTTTAGGAACAGGGACTCGGAGGAGCTAATTAAGGATAAATGAAGTCATAAAGCAGGGTGCTAAGCTTTGAGTACTTAGTCCTCACGGGAGAAGAGATGCTAGGGCTTTGGTGCACAGAGAAAAGCACACAGGTTGTGAGAGCAAAGCCAGAAGGCGCTGCTCACACAGTTTAAAGAGAAGCCTCCGTAGAGGCCGTCCTTGCCAGCACCTCCAGAATGGCCCCAAATTGCGTCGTTCAAGTCAACCGATCTGTGGTATTCTCCTGTCGTACTCCTCGAAGCCTCCAGTCACCAGGTAACCAGCATCCAGAGTGAGGCTAAACATGTTGACTAACCTAACACCATTTTCCAGAACTTTTCCTTTAGTGTTTGCGTTGGTTTGGGTCCTCTGAGATTCATCTGAGAACTACATATGGATTATATGTACAAGATATTCATTAGGGAAATGTGGGACAAGACAAAGGGAAGAAAGCTCCAGAAGGCGAGACTCTTTGAGTACTCATACAGGTCTAACCTGAAGGGAGGAGAAAGAAGTGTTGGTTGACCGTGGTTCAGAGCACTGCACAGTTTCAAGAAAGTTGCAGCTAGATTTATAGCGAGTCTGTTATCCAAAATCTCCCGCCGAAGGCATTCCATATTGGTGACTCACCATGTTTAGTCTTGACTGAACAATTTGCAGGAATCATAGCATCGGGATGAAAATGTCGAGGCATCTGGGCCTCAACAGCTGGGGCCGTCCGTCACTCATGCTCGGATCCGGGCTTTTCCCAGCCACACTCTACGTCAAACTGGTGTTAGCAGCCATGGAGACCCAATTCCTCCAAGTCTGAAGCCAGAGGAATCATGCATCCTTGCCCCAAGCCTCTGTAAAAGCTCTGAGAGGGTCTTGGAACGGATACACTTAAACCATTTTCCCACCCCTGAGCCAGGAAAAATTCCATGCCTTGCTTTTCTCCGGTCTAATACTTCAGGCTTCCCTTCCATGCTGAGTTGTGTCATAAGAGCTAATGGGCATCAAGAAGCACGTTTACGGAGAATATATATTCTATATCCCCAGAACACACTTATTTTTAAGTATTTTTATTTCCTGTAGCTTCCCAGGGTGCTTTCCAAAGGCAGGAGCAATTCAGAGCTGTGCCAAAGGTAACTCTCCCCACATCCTCACCAGCTGGGTTAGTTTCCGTTATGAACGTGGACTGCTTGATTGGTCCGCCGTGAGAGCGCGTGTGGTTTATCACAGTGACTCACAGTTGTCACGTACTAGCGACGATCTTTTTTTTTTTCTTAGACGTTCTTTTCTTTAAATGGGCTCCTCCTATCTCTGCTCATTTTCCCATTTACCTTTGTGTTTCTCTTGTTTGTAAAAGCACTTTTCGTGTTACAGCACATAGTCCTCTGTTTGCTGTCACCCTAACCAACAGACGAGCGGAAAGGAACGTGAGCTCTCGATGGTGTCTTTCCGTCTTCCGTATTTATGGCCAGAATTAGATACTTCACCGGCAAGTCACAGTATAGATCAGTATGCTAGGAGTATGGACACCATCTTTAAAACAAAAACAAAATGGTCTTTACTTCAGGGCACTTTGTCATCTCTCTCCCGTCCACCTCGGTTCTCTGCAGTCGCTCAGGTCGGGAGCCCTTCGGTTCTGCATTTTGGTCCCATCTGCCCAACTCCTGCCCATATTCTTTGTGTACAACTATTATATTTCCGAAGGTTGAGTTTTTAAAGAGAGTTTCTTTAAAAGGCAAGTTTACAGTGTTGCCATTATATATTATGACTACTAAATAAATAAATAAGAGAGTCACATAGCAGGAATGATAAAAAATAAAAATAAATAAAAATAAAAAAGAAAATAAGAGAGGTTCATCTTTGTATTACGTAAAACACATGCCTTGAGCAACTGTATTGGAGTACAATCGCCTGTTCCCAGCCAAGTCAAGGCGAGGACTGGAACCCTCTTGAGAGGTACAAGAGAATGGGGATTCATTTACATCTCTCCAGAAGGGCCAATTACTTTACATGCGACGGACACTGGAAATCAAAACTTACTCCTCTCATCAAAAATCATCAGCATAGTGGAAAAGGCAATAGACTTCAGGGGCAGAGAAAGAGCCTTTCCTCGGGTCCAGTGGACAGCCCGCCGGTGGCTCTCAGGGCTTGAGTCTAGTGCGCCCCAGGCAGGCAGTCTCAACGTTCTCATTCTAGCCTTAACATTCTAAGGTTCTGCTAATTATGCTGGCGTGCAAGGGTCAGAACAAGACGGTCTGGGGCCCAGGGCTGGGTGGGGTCCCTGCGCAGGATCTTCCTATAGAGCCCAGTGTCCAGTGTGCAGAGGGCGACAGAAGCCATGCGCTGGCTGTGGGCGTGGAGCCATATTCTCCTGCCGTTGTTCCTCTCGCTAGCTCTCATCGGGTTGTTTAGCTCCGACCATAAAAGTACGAAGAACCTCCAAAACTTGAACCGACAGTTAGAAGCAAAACACGTCGAAATGGGTGAGTGACCTGTGACGCCAGGCAGGGTGCTGTGGCTGTGCCCCACCGGCATTTTTGGTTGGTGCATCCTAGCTGCCTCAATTGTTTCATTTCAAAACTTGTCGTTTGGTGGTGGGGGGGGGGGGGGGGGGAGAGACTTTTTTTTTTTTAAAGGTTCTTTATATTTTGAGAGAATCTAGTGAAAACTGATTTCTACTGCCTAAATTCTATGCATGAGAACCAGAAGGAGAAACCAGCTACGCAGTTTAGTATAAAAAGACGCCAAAGAAAAGTGCTCAGTTTCTGTTTCTTGCAGTCCCCTCATTGCCAGGGGCCAGAGACGCCAGAAGAGGACTCTCATGGGGGCTCTCATGCCTGGTCTGGCTCTCACATGATTTTAGGGTTAGCTCTTCAGAGGGAGACATGCCAGAGAAGCAGGGATGATGGGCTAAGATAAAACTCCTTCAGGTCAAGAGACTGGAATTTCTGGCTTGGGTGCAGGGTCCATTTGAAGGGATTAACCACCATGCCAATGGGCCAACCGTAGGAAGGCGAGCTAGAGACAGGTGGATTGCTTAGTCCTTTCCTGAAGTGATGTATTCACCTCTGCCAGAATCCGTGCCCCCAGCGCAGAAGCTCACCCAGCCATCTGAGCACCTATCTAACTTGGTCTCCGTTTTCTCTTTTCGAAACACGTTTGCTCTAACACTGTGGGTTTCCCCCAACATCTCGGGCCCTTTCTCACCGTGAAGCTGTCTGTTCTCCATGTATCTCACCTCCTGGCTGACTCACACAGCATGGGTTTTTTTTCTTTTGTTGTTGTTTTTGTTCTGTTCTTCATTGCCCTTTTGATAACTACTGAGATTTATAGCTTGCTTGCCTTGAGTTTTGTTTTTTTTTTCTCGTTTCCTTTTAAACATGAATAAAATAGTTCTTGAGCCTAAACAAAAATTCCTTGCAAAAGGTATTAAAGAAGGCAAATGTACCAATATTAATATTAAATAAGAGAAATTTCAAATTAAAAATCAGAGGAGCTGATGCTGTTTTATTTTTACACACAGTACAATAAACAACGACGACATTTTAATAAACTTATTTGCCTAAAATATATATTTTAAACTGTACAGGAAGAGATATATTTTTTAAAAAGAACATTCAACAAATTACACATTTGTGTGAGAAATCAACAGGTAAAAGAGAGAGAACTGGGTTCGAGAAGAGTTCTTTCCAGCAGAAGCAGGGACAGTTAGTTTATTAAGGCAGGATGCACTTAGATCTCAGAAGAGCTGGGTGTTTATGCCAGCATGCACAGGTTTGGGTGTCATGCGCATGGCATGATGCAGCTCTGGGCCCCACCTCGTGTGCTTCCTGTCGCATTAGCTTCCTAAGTCCCCACCCAGGGACTGGGTTCTCTATTGCCATGAACTAGACACCTGGAGGACCACCTCTGCACTCTAGGTGGCCTTAGTCTCTGGGGTGGGGGTGAGGGTGAGGGCCAATGGGAGCTGTTCTGGCCTTCACTTTTGCCAACTTGCTCTTTTCATGTGCGAATTTTGCAGCCTTTGCTCCCAATCTCATTGTCTGCCCCATTCTGTTGCCTCAGATCAGCCCTCAGGGCCAGGGTCTCAAAGTTCTTTGAGGGAGCTGGAAAGTGACCTCTGTTTGAAATTATTTCTATAAACTCTACACGATCCCTGCCTCTGCAGGGCAGAACTGTTGCTTCCAAAGATGTGAGGAGAAAGATCACCGACACAAATCATCAAGGCCAAATTAATTAAAGCAAGCAATTAATTAAAGCAAGCCTTTTTATTTGTGTACGTGGATGGCTTCCCTCTAAGGTGGGGTTCAAGAGGTCAGCATTGAATGTGAGGAAAATAAGGTTTTGTAGCTCAGGGGTGGGGGGTTCCCAGATGGATGGTTTGGTGGCCAAATTGGGGGGGGATTATAAAAGCAGAACATAAGAATAACAAGTTAGTCATAACAACCTACTGAAAGTAAGACATGTTTGCAAGGTGGGCATAGCAAAGTTGTCATAACAACTGGTGGTCATAATAACCCTTTGAAACAAAGGTATGGTTGCCATCCTGGAAGAGGCAGTACAGAACCATTTGTAGTTAAGTTTACAAGATAGGACACAGCCCAATCCTTGAGAAACAGATTTAATCGTAAATGTGAATGAACAGTTTGTCTTTAATATAAGATGGCTTTTAAGCCTAGAATGGAGGCAGGCTAATTCATCAAAAGCACCCCCTCAGAATAGCTCTGTATATCCAATGCTTGACTAGAATCTCTGCATCCCAAAAATCTTAGTCTGAAACTTCTGTGATCTAGAAAATACAAATATTTTCTGTGAGCTTTTGGCAAGTTCCTTGGGCTGCTGTCCGCATGTCTGGGGCCATCAGGTGTCATAATACAGTTGTCCAGTTTTAGGAATAAGATCTCACATAAAAAAATAGTAATGGGGAAAATATAAAAGATTTCTATGAAGGAATTCAATCTTGAAATATATTAAAAGCAGAGCATTATGAGGTTGTAAGTAATGACCTTTTTATTGAAGAAAAATTTAAGTCTTAGTAGTTCACAAGTCTAAGGAGAGAGGGTAAGGGATTGTTTTAGACAGAAACTCCTTGAGTCTTCTATCCTGAGAAGGTGTTGTCGTCCAGAAAAGGGTCACTATCAGCACTGTGCCAGGCACGGTCGCTCAGAAGCACTCGAGATGCTCACGGGTTCCAGAGCAGCAGCCGAAGGAGCTGCATTTCAGGAAAGCCACTGAGCGTAAGTGGGGATGTCAGTTTGGGTGCTTAGCAGCTAGGAATTACTAAACAGAATCTTGTTTATCTTCTTTCTCTTAGCTGTCCTTGAAGAAAGAACTCTTCCCTGAGTAACTTTACTTGTTAATTTATTTACTATAATGACAATAAAAAGGAAGTTTGTGATAGTTTGGATGTAAGCGGCCCCCATAAGCTCAATAGGAGTGGCACTATTAGGAGGCGTGGCTTTGTTGGAGTCACTGTGGCCTTATTGGAGCAAGTGCGTCACTGTAGGGCTCAAGATGCCACCCAGTGAGACATACCACTTCCTGCTGCAAGATGTAAGAATCTCAGCTATTTCTCCAACACCATGTCTGACGGCCTGCCAACATGTCCCACCATGATGCTAATGGACTGAACCGCTGAACTGTAAGTGAGCCACCCAATTAAATATTACCCTTTATAAGAGTTGCTGTGACCAGGCAATGGTGGCGCACACCTTTAATCCCAGCACTCAGGAGGCAGAGGCAGGTGGATCTCTGTGAGTTTGAAGCCAGCCTGGTCTACAAGAGCTAGTTCCAGGACAAGTTCCAAAGCAACATACAGAAATCCTGTCTCGAAAAACAAAACAAAATTAAAACAAACAAACAAACAAAAAAAGGAGTTGCCGTGGTTATGGTGTATCTTCACAGCAATAGAAACCCTAAGACAAGTTGGTTATAAATATTTATGCCACCAGCCAGACATTTGTAATTATATTCCTCAAGGAAGAAGATGTGATTTTCTGGGCCAGGAACATTCTGGATATTATAGAGAGAGTGACCGGCAATATTCCACAAAAACTAGAAAAGAGCCATGTTCTAGAAGTCATGAAAACCAGGCTGGGCCTTGGAAGATAGTGCAGTGGTTAAAGCTGAGCCTAAGTATGAAGACTAGGACCATACCCCCAGAAATCATATAAGTCACATATGGTAACACACACACGTAATTCCCATCTGCAGCAAGCCGGAAGACAGACATGTTTATTCCTAGAAGTTCATGACCAGCTTAACTTGGATATGCAGTGGTAAACAAGAGACTAGCTTCTAAACAATGTAGAAGGTGATACCCAACACTGGAGGCTATACTCTGAGATCCACACATGTCCTTGGTGTATGTAAACTTGCACACACACACTCACACACACACATACACATACACATGCACACACAGTTACAAATACAAATACAAACTGAGAGGCATCCCACAAAATGCTGATCCACATTCGTCAGAAACTCCCATATAATGACAAACCAGGACAGACATCTGTTGCAGATGGAGAACACAAGATGGCTGAAGGCAATATGGAATCCCACAAGACCTTGAAGCACAAACAAGACGTTGGTGTAAAAAAAACGAATGAAATCCTAAGAAAATCTGGAGTTTAGTTCAAAGCAATACATTAATTTTGGTTTCTCTTTTTTGAAGTTGAGTTTTATTCATTGTTATTGTGAGGATGGTGTGTATCTCAGATCCATCCATGCCATAGTGCTCCTGTGGAAGTCAGAGATCAACTCTGTGCAGTCAACTCTCTTCTCTACCTTTATTGGCCTTGAACTCATGCATTCAGGCTTGCAAGGCCTTTGCCTTTGCTCACTGAGCCCAGCTTGCTGGCCCTGGTTTCAGAGCTAGGTTTAGATAATGGTGACCAGGTTATCTCTCCTGAAGTAAACCTGGAGCGGCATCTTGGACACTCTTGAAGCCTTAGAATCTTTTCTATTTCCTTTGTCTTTTCATTGTCTTAATGTTCATGTAGGAATTTTAACATTCTTCAAGGGTAGGAAAAGAACTAATGATCAATAGGATTTAATTCGAGAACTGAACTGTAATTTTTTTCCCAGCCAGGTGAGCTCGGCATCTAATTAAACAATCTGAAACTAAACAGATGTCCTTACAAGGCTGTGAATTCTGCCACCAAATAACTGGTAGAATAACTTTATTATTCTTGTGTTATAAAACATGAGCATCAGATATAAACTTTGTTTTTTCAGAAGCCACCGAAGTAATAACATGAGCCATCAAAATGAGTTTTTGAATTTGAACTCAGTTTTCATTATAGAACTTTCGAATATAAGTGATACTATTACACTATCACTTTTCTATAAAAGAAAAACATCTCCATCTGGAAGGAGATTTTTAAGTTTTGTGGCAAAAGAGTTTTGTGGTTGGAGAATTGCAAGTTTCTTTTTATTTTTATTTATATTATTATTGTTGTTGCTGCTGTTTTTGTTATTTTGGTTTTTCAAAACATGATTTCTCTGTGTAATAGCCCTGGCTGTCCTAGAACTTGCTCTGTAGACCAGGCTGGTCTTGAACTCACAGGACTCTGTCTGCCTCTGCCTCCTGAGTGCTGGGATTAAAGGTGTGCACCACCACCGCATGGCTCAGGTTTCTTTTTTAAAGAAAGAATTAATTAATTAGCCAGGAATATCTTTGTAAATCTGTTCTGACAACAAAGGAGTTACTAAACTATTTTTAAGGTATGGTGTGATATATTAAAACTGTGTGGTACAATTGACAAATTTGCTAATTTTGATCATGTTGTCGAAGTTGTTTTGTAGAAGTTGGCTAATTAACACTGAATAATGCCATCTCATATTTTTTTCCCCAGAAACTAGGGGAAGTGAGTTGGGGATTAAACGGTAACGGTCGTGTGTCTTCATTAGTTTTCTATTGCTGTAAAGAGACAGCATGACCAAGGCAACTTATAAAAGAAAATACCTAGTTAGGGGTCTTGCTTATGGTTTCAGAGGGCGGGTCTATGACCGCCATGGTGGCAAGCATGACAACAGGCAGGCAGACATGGCGCTGGAGCAGCAGGAGAGCCTCTCCAAGCAGCTGATCTGCAAGCAGGTTGTAGAAAGAGAAACAGTGGGCCTGGTGTGGGTGTCTAAACTTCAAAGCCACACCAGCTCCAGCAAGGCCACTCCTCTTAACCCTTCCCCAAAACAGTTCTGCTAACTAGGGACCAAGCCTCCAAACATGTGAGCCTGTAGGGCCAATAGTATTCAAACCACCACAGGAGGACAGCATCTAGGTGTATGTAAATAAAAAAGCAAGCTGTTTGAATATGGATGAATAGAGCTTGAAACAGGAATAAACTGAGCAATAAATTGGCTTTGGTTTTAATTTTTATGCTTTTTATTTTTTTTTTGTAGACTGTGCTCAAAAGCAAACTTGTCCATCTTGTACCCGAGACAAGAGAGTAAGTTAATTTCCTTATGGATAAATTGTCCTGGGAATGTTATGAATTCACATGTTTACAGTTGTCACCTGGAAAATGTGCTAAGCTTTGTTTCCTACACTTTGACAGCTAAAACGAATAATGACAGCTATGAAGATATGTCCCTTTACTATAAACTATCCTTTGTGGGTCTAAAAAAAATAATGGAAATACTTCAGTACAGACTTGTACTTCCATCTGGAAAATAATACATTGAAAAGAAAGCAAGTTTTTTGCTTGAAAAATGATATCACACCAAAATGTTGGAAGAATTTTTGTAAGCAAAGATATAGCTTTTGAAATATGGCAATATTTTCATTATAACCTCTAAAGACTAGAAAGAATGGCACGTGATCCATGACCTCAGTGTAACTAAGGTCCCCTTCTCAGATGATTAAATGTCTTTTTTTTTGTATAATTTTTTTTTTACTTCCAGCTTTGAAGAAAACAACAAACAAGTAAAAAAAAAATCCCAACAGCAATGAAGCAGATAGTATCCAATAGTGCACGTTGTAGTAGGAGATGCTTGCTCATGTCCCAGCCGCCCCGACTCCCAAAATAATCACACAGAAACTGTATTAATTAAATCACTGCTTGGCCTATTAGCCCAACTTCTTATTGGCTAGCTCTTACATCTTAATTTAACCCATTTCTATTATTTTATATTTTACCACGAGGTTGGTGGCCTACCGGCAAGGTTCTAACTAGTGACTTGCGTCTTTCTCCTCTGGTGGCTCCATGATGTTTCCTTGACTCCACCTTCTTCCTCCCAGCATTCAGTTTAGTTTCCCTGCTTAGCTCTATTCTACCCTATCACAGGCCAAGACAGATTCTTTATTCATTAACCAATAAAAGCAACACATAGACAGAAGGACTTCCCATACCACACAGCCATGTGGTTACACTTGAAAAGCCATTCAGGTCCACTCTCTTGGAGAACTGACCACATCACAGACAAGGGACACAATCTGGTGATGGTTTCTACCATAGTGATCTAGACAAGTATCATTGGTCTCTGCTCTTTTTCCAGGTCACTCTTGTGCTTTAGTGAGGACCTGGGCTTCTGGCTCATGGATGTTCCCACCACGTTACCAGCTTTCCTCAGATAACCCTGGCTCAGACACACACACTGTCTCTATGTCCACTTCCTTAACTCTGCAGTTCGGATAACAGGGATAACTCTCTGAGCCCTGTACTGCCTATGGTGCCCGTCATTCCCTCCTTCCCTGGCACTGGACCTATGCTTACGCCTCAACAAGATAAGTCTGTCTACCCACCCTCCCACTCAGCCCCTTAGTCCCTCAGTTTCCTTCAGATGCTTGCCCCTGACCCACCAGGCTCCCTTCTTTCTTGTGAATTTTAATACCATTCACCTGAATTACTCCCCCCACCTTTTTAATGTTAATTGTTTTGCAATGCAAAATTTCAAGTATATAAAAGTCGAGGAAGCATAACCTGTGGACTATGGCATGAGCTCCTTGTCCTTCCTCTTTAGGAAGCTGAGGTAGGGGCATCACTTGAGTCCAAGAGTTGAAGGCTAGCCTAGGTGACTAAAAGGAACCCCTTATTTAAAAAATAATATAGGAGATGGTATAATAAAACTTTATACCACTAAGGGTCATTTTGGGTAACTTTGTCTCATGAACATCCCATCTTTCCAAGTAGATTATTGGAAGTCAGTAATTCTATGAATATCATCTTATTTGTAAATATTTGACCCTCTATATCTTAAATAAAAAATTTGAAGTATTGCATTTATAATCACATCTAAAAATTAACAACTAAGTACTCAGTTAATTTTTTTGTTTCACATTTGTTTAAGTCAGATCCACGTACTGTAATTGGTTGAGACATACCTTAAATTTCTTTGAGTCTATACATTCTTTCTATTCTCCTTTTCTTTTATTGCAAATTATTTGTTACAGAATAGATTGTTGTCCTGCTGAGCTTCCCACAGGCTGGGTTTTGCTGGTCACATCCACATTACTAAGTTGGATTTATTGTTATTGTTTCCCTTTCCCTGTTTTTATCAGGTTAGTAACTAGACTGAACACATTCTGTAGGGGCTTTGGGTGGTAATATCTCATGCTGAAGACACATTAGAAGATGGATAGGACTGTGGTCCAGTCTTTGGTGATGTCAGCAGTAAATGATGTTCTCTTACATTGTTAACCAACGTGCCTTCCTGTTGGCCACTTACATTGCCCCGCTCTGATTGGTCTCTGATCCTTCTATGCTTCAGTGCTATGCATTGTTAGCTGATTACTGCACAGACACATTACAACAAGCCCTCATTAGTACAGCTGCTAAGGTCACCTGATCCCAGATGCTACGCATTCTTTGCTCTTTTGGTTAGCAACATTTCCTAAGAATGCCCGCAGTAGTAACTCTAGAACATTGTGACCATCCTTAAAATGCCAATATCATCCACACCCCTTAAATCTCAATCTCAAAAGGTGACTTGATCTTTTAATTTTATAGACAAAAACAGAGATTTTGGGTATTGGCTTCAATCATTGAATTATTATTCATTTTATTCAGAATTACATATCCTTATCATTTTCCTTAAAGGATGAATACTTCCTGCAGTCATAGTACTTACACATATGCATTGTTACATTTCCTTTCATATGATATATATTGTGTTGGGGTTTTTTTTCTGTCATATTTCCTCTGTTCCCAGTTCCCTAGGACAAAGGCAGGGTTTTCGCCACCTTTGGGTCAACACTCCTCCCACATTTCCCAGCACACACTTCCAGTTATCGAGTGAAAAGCATTCAGTAACTATCGAGTTATTAGAAGAAGCTTACACTGCATTCAATACACTCTCTAAGGTAACAAGGTAGAGAGTTTTATCTTGAAACATTTCTACACACAAACCATTATGACATGTCTGGAGATAGGTGTGTTTGAGGGTGATGTGAAAGCGATTCCCACTGTCTCTTAGGATGAATGAAAGGGTAACTATGCATGGTCAGTGTAGAACCTGAGTGCTGTCTTCTGAGAAGATCCTCCGTCCTCACAATAATTGAGAGGACAGTGACTTCCACCGGCAGATTTTATTATTTCCCACACTGCTCCAAAGACCTGCTTTATCAGGGGCATTTCCTACAGCAATCAAGTACTTGTGTTCTCCTTGGAGCCTCACAGGATGGACAGGTGTTTGGTATATCTTGGGAAGCCCTACTTTGTGTTCATGTTTCACTTAACTCAAGAGAATTATCACACCAGCTCCTAATTTCCCCCAAACAATATAATGTATATTCTTAGGTGAAAGAGAATCTTTAGATTCTGTCTGAATATTTTCCTTGTAGTCTGATAGCAAAGACCATCCTTTCTAGAATTAGAAAATATTTTGGCCAAAAAAAATCCATAAAAATAAACTTATTTATTTAGAACACCACCTTTAACTTGCTCATAAACGCAGAATATGAGAAAGAAAATGATGGGGCTGGGGAGCTGGCTAAGTGAGTGAAATGCTTGCTATGAGCACAAGGAACTGAGTTAGGATCCCTCGGGCCCATGAGAAAAGTCAGACCTGGGGAAGCCAAGTCAGACAAATGCCAGCTAACCTAGCCAAAGCGGCCAACCTGGGGCCTGTGAGAGACCCTGTGTGGAAAACAAAGGGGGTGCCTCCTGAGGAACAACACCTAAAGTTGATTCCTGACTTTTACACGCAAACACACACTCATACTTTGAACACACACACACACACACACACACACACACACACACACTCATGCACTCACGAACCACCAAAATGTTGATGTATTTGTTCCATTAAAAGTAAACCTTTAAGGAGACCATGCCAACTGAAATAGTTTAAGCAATTTTTGTGGGTCTCTTGCTGCCATTTAGAGTTTTTTTTTAAATATTTATTTATTTATTATGTATACAATATTCTGTCTGTGTATATGTCTGCAGGTCAGAAGAGGGCACCAGACCTCATTACAGATGGTTGTGAGCCACCATGTGGTTGCTGGGAATTGAACTCAGGACCTTTGGAAGAGCAGGCAATGCTCTTAACCACTGAGCCATCTCTCCAGCCCCCTGCCATTTAGAGTTTTATGTATCACTGTTGAGTCTCTGAAATGATGGTTCTCCATCCTGAGGTCGCAGAGGTGATATTGTGTGCAGTAAGTTTTGTTCTTGACTAATAGGAGTGACAAGGCTGAATTCTGCAGTGAGTTAAAACCCAGAGTAGATCCTGGGTTGTCTCTACAAATAAGTCTTTCTCGTTCATCACTTCCTGATATGGATTATTGTTCAGGATGGAAAGGAATGACATATAGAAAGCTATAAGAGACTTGCAAGCCTCTCATGGCCTAACTTATGTGCTGACTAGTTCACATGGAAAGGCTGTTATATGGTTATCAGATTCATTTATAAGTGCTGTAACCCACACTGCACCAAGAGATCCATTTTAACACTCCTTTTTCTGATAGTGAACACATACAAAAGTGTGTAGGGCATATATACTAGGAGATGATGGGTTCAGATCCAAATATGGCATTGAACTTATATGTATCGCCTTTGTAAAGTCCTCCAATTGAAAAATAAAAACAAGAGCCAGAAATATGGATTATTTTCCACGGCAAGTATTCCTGACACAGTACATGCTCTTGGCCTGACCCTTCTTGTGGAGGATGCTTTTCTTTGACATGTGTAAGGCCATCTGGTAGGCCTTGTGTTCTCTCTTTCCTGCTGAATGATCCAGTGCTTTCTCTCTTACACGTTCTTTTAGAAACCTATCTTTACTTCAGGGTGCCTCTCTGTAGTCTTGCCTTCATCCTTGTGCCAGCCTCAGAAGCAGGCCAGTGAGTGGGCTCGGTGGGTAGAAGTTCTTACCACAGAATCTGTTGGCCTAAGGTTGATTCCTAGAACCCACAAGATGGAAGGAGAGAACTGGTTCCTGTAAGCTGTCTTCTGACTTCATGCACGCCATGGCTGTGTATTGTGCACATGTGTACACATACATGATA